GACAAAGGATAGGAAAAAAAACCAAATATAATAAAAAAATTTTGTTTTTAAACAAAGTAGTACTTAGAGGGAGCACTGGTATTGTACGTACATGTGTCTATGTATAATACATAATTACTCAGATACACACATAAATATTTAATATATAAAAAATAAAGTGCTTTCTATCAGGTCCCAATGCAGGGACATTATAAAACATTTCACCAACTGCAAAACAAATAGATACAAAGAATACTACATCCAACATACATGAAAACAGTAACACAATATGTACAATCTGGTGGGTGTCCCAAGACAAAACATCCCTTCATATACATGGTATATACATATATACTCATCTTTACTCAATATATTATGACAATATATATTTCAAAACTTTGTTATAGACAAAAAAAACCCTACAAAAACGCAACAAGGATCAAGGACACAAGTCCAAGACTGACAAACAATTTGCTACCCTTGCTCACGCCACCACCTCCGTTGCTGGGAAAGATATGCCAGCGCTCTTTTCTGGGGTGCAATGCCTCCACATCCTGCAAGGCACTGTGAGCAGCAGCTGTGAAGTTAGCGTCACCAGTGGTGAGCAGGTCAAACACGCATGAGTAAAAATAGATGTCCTTCACCAGCATCTTCTCATGACATTTGGTGGTGGCAGTTTCCAGTGTGTACACTGAGCGGGGATGAGCAGCGCCTGCCTGGGGCAGTAACTGCCCCATCACAGGCAGCGGCAAGTGGCCGCTGTCATCGATACGTTCACTTGACGGGCAACCATTCACACACAGCTGCAGGTCCTGACTCTCCTCATAGGCCATAGCCAACTCTTGAGGCATGCGGATGGCCAGCGTTAAGTAGCGCCCAAGCTGGCGTATATACACTGTGGTCCCAATGTACCTGGCATGCATTTCGACGTATTTGCCGCTGACTTTTTCCACAATTCGCAGGCTCTTGGTGTTACCATCACCTCCACTTGTTGTGCCATCCACAAAGGCTGCCGGTAAGTCATCAGTCACTGCCTGATACACCTTCTGATCTGTGCAGTCTTGGTACGATTTAAAGATAATAGTTATCTGGAAGGGGAGGGGAGGAGGGAAAGAAAAAAAAGCTGTTAGCGAGCATGGAAAAAAATACACATTTCAATCCCTTTTCCATTTTGCAGCTGCGATTATCTGGGACTGCCCACTAAGCTCACGAGCTTGACGCTTGTCCCCACTCACGCCTAAAGCAGAGAACAGTCTGCACACATGCTGAAAGCAACATTTTACCAGATGGCAATTGTTAAATTTGTTCTTAACTTGGCCTGGAAGCAAGACTATTAGCGTGTGGCAACTGCAACAAGGTCAGGAAAGGAAAAGGCTGTATATTTAATTAAGCATCACAGCTCCCTCCTGCCTGATGGTTTCTTAACACTTTGGAATGCATCCTGCAATCGCAAGGACGTATACGTGCCAAATAATTCCCACACTGCCGGCTGCTATGGCAAAACTGGAGAATGAGACTGTGTGAGAGCCCAGAAAGGAACTGGAGGATTTGGTTTCCCTCACTCCCAGTATTCTCATTATGCCTCTGACAGTGACTGCCTGACCGACCCTTGCCGGAGTACTTCACATTTCTTAGAAATTTTGCCTGGATTAGCTGTTTTGAATACTGCTAAAGCCCTGCTGTGCTACGCTACAACAAGCGGCGAGAAAGATGCAGTACCAGGAAAAACAACTAGTCAAAGAACTGGTTACAGCTCCTGGATGTCTTAGTCCTAAAAACTGGGAGATTTGACACTTCCAGTCCACTGCTGCTAGAGAACGTGCCAATGGAGAAACAAAGCGCAACTGAAAGACGCCCAAAGACATGCCTTTGAAGGGTGACTTGCAACACAAACCAGGAGCACAAACCAATTACTTGTCCTTTTAAGTGTAAAGCTTTAAAAGGCCAGTCATAATCTTATTTGAATAAGCCACAATAGAAACAGTAGGTCCTCTGGTCTTACTTGAAGGAGATAATTAGGCAATTTGGCCGACTGAGTTCGAGGTGCCTAGTGGCTTTTTGAAAATGTATATTGAAGGGACAGTGTAAATGTAAGAAACAGAGATGCTTCTTTCTTTACAGTTTCAGAAAGGAGGAAATAGCAAATTCCTGAAAAGGTTGAAAGGTATTTTGTACTAGAAATAGGGATTTTAATCATTATTTTCGCCCTTGTCTGACTGACTACATCAAATCGACTCACAGGCTATCATTTCAGCACATTGCTATAAGATTCAGAGTAGTCCAGATCACGTTAGAAAAAGTTTTCGAACTAACGTTAGCATTCTCCTTAAAACTTATAGCAATCTCGCATGTTTTAATTTCAGTTGACCAGCACACTTCTGCACAACAGCTTTAGTTTCTTGCCCGTCTGCTTTGAAATAAGAGCTAGAGGTTAAATAAACAGCTGGATTACAGACAGTTTGAATAAACCCCCTACCCTCATTAGCCTCACCTCTCCATACCGGCTGTAAAAGACAGGAATCTTCCCTTCTAGCACCTATTCCTCCTTTCTCCCATCCCAACAACTTCTCCAAATATACAGGCACACACTTAAACGTATTACATTCGTTCTTAATGTGTGGTTTGTCCCGGCTAGTTGACGCTCTGTCAGTCTTTCTGACTCTCCCATACGCGCACACACGCACACACAGTACTTGCTATTTTAATTCCATATGTTCCCACTGGTGCTGTCTGACTGGAATTTTCCAACCGTTTTTCTTTGCTTTAATCAGTTATACAGCTCGCTTGAGACCAGCTGCAGTCAAGCAATCTGGTAAACTCATATCTGTGGGCCACAGCTGAGCTTGAAGGTCTCTGCCCAAAATCTAGACAACGTACAAGTAGAAGTTCAGTGCCTTTCTTGTTGTAAAGGCTATCCTGTATCACTACGCTTTGCAAAGTAAGGCCAGCAACCCAGAGAGGAGACAGCTGAGCTTTGTCTGATGCATGCTCTGCCCACCACCCCGGGCCTCATGCCCTAAGTCAGGTCTTACATTCTTTACAGCACAGTTTTGATGAAGCAGAACTGTAACGCGGGCCGCTCTGTTGACAAAGCGCTCCTGCGGCGTGTTCGTGCTGCTCCGCAGGGGAAGAGCGATTTGCACGCCGGCAGAGGCCAAGCCCCGTCAGGCTGCTCGGCACCTGAGCAAGCCCAGAGTTAGCGCTACAGCTGGTTCTAACGAGACACACAACCGGCTACTTGATATAGCAGCTAAGCACGGGAGCCGCAGGGCGGAAAGGCACACAGCGTCAGGGAAAGCGAGGAAGGGCAGAGCCCTTCACCCCGGGCAAGACCTGCGATAAATCCCCACGCTGAGCGAGGGCCGAACACCTTAAGGGAACGAAGGCCTCTCGCAAGGATGCTCCTGACAGAGAATCAGCAAAAAGACCATTAAGATCTGCCAAGGACGCAGCTCTGCATTTAAATACTGTGGCTCAAGACAGTCAATTTGGATGTTGCGACTTCTCTCCCGCCAGCCCCATCTAATCCACAGGCCAGACCAGTAAAACCAGAGATCTGTGAAGTCCTGTCCTTCTCCTATCGCCTGCGCCGACCTCACTCGGCCCAACGCCCTGGTGGTGAGGATACACAAGAGCTTCTTACAAAGGCAGATGAAGCCAATTTCACTGCAGAGCCTTCTCTTTTTAAAGTTTTCAAGGTAACCTTTTTCACTATGCAATGCTTTATGCCATTCCAAACAAGTGTACCGGTAATGTGTTATATGGGTATACACACACACTTTCTATATTCAGGCCAGGTTGTAAAAACGCCCCCACACAGCTGTTCGTGTGTCATTGTTTACACACTAGAAGTTATAGCTGCCCTTTCTACACCTAGAAAAAAAAAATCCAAATGTTTGAACCTTCAGCTGAAGGAAGAGCTTTTTTGAAATTATCCGCATCCGAGTCTTGCACTTGGGGCACAAGCAGAGCTCTTAAGCTACTGCAATGAGGACCAAAGCTAAAGGACCAAAGCAAGCCTTTTCCAAAGGTTTAATTGAGGCTACGTTATACAAAGCTTAGTTACATTAAGATTACTAAAAACAATAGAAACCTATGCACACTCAAACTGCACATAAACATTTCATTTTGGCCCAAATGTTTACATTCCCCCTGGGAGAGGGATGCCAGTAACATCATCCTCACCCAGCTTACTGAACATGAAGATTGCTTGAACCCACCACACATACAACGCCTTTCCAGGACTGCGTTGGGCAGAGCATAACTTCTGAAGCTGCCCAAGTGAAGTCTCTAGAAGACTTTTATACATCTCTAGAAGGTGCCTGTCCAGCATGCCTTAAACACAACGCTTCTGGCTCCTCACACAATAAATTCCACATGAGTGCTATGATGCAATTACAGTCCTGCTGGACGGTATTTAGTAGGTGTAACTATCTTCCTATTTTATTACAGATTCTACAGTTTTGTATCCTTGAACTACCCATGTTGGCAGTAAAAGCGTGACAGTGTTCTTAAGACAGAAATTTTAATCAGGTTATTGGTAACTCTGTGTCTTACTAGGTTTTATTAACTTTCCTGCTATTAATCTATAAATATATGCTCAAGTACTGAGAGCTGAAAACCGCCACAAGAGCCAAGGGACCTAACATGCTGTTCTTAAGCATGAAGAGTGCATTTTTCAATGCAAAAAATTAAACAATTTCAATTTTGCAGGGAAGAACTGATGAATTCTCATTCCCATAAGAACCCAGACTTGCTTAGAGTAGTGACTCCAAGTACAGGTTTTAGTAAATCATGTTATTTCCAAGGGCAAGCTGCACACAAGGAAAGAGATAAACATTTGATCCACTCTTTTGGAAAAACCCTGGTGAGTAGCTATTGCAAAAGAAAGCACTGGCAACTCTGTCAAGTTAGTATTTCTTCAGTTACTATAGTTTTGAGAAAAAAAACCAAAAAACAGAAAAACCCCTTCACCATAACAGAGTTGGTTCCCCAGCCTGCATTAATTCATTTTTGCATTAAGCACTTTATTACTTTATTTCATAGCTTGCATGTATTACTTCATCCATCAGCCATATAGAATACATACAGACTATTACCCCAAATACACTCTGAAAGCCTTTATCTGCTTTGAGTTACTATAAGGTTGCGAATACAGTTTTCTTCTTACAGGGCCTTGTGGTCTTGATCACATCTCAGCATTTAATCGGTCCCTGCTTCTGTTCCCATTTCCCCCTTCATGGAACTGCACTAGGGAACGAGGGAGCAAGCAAGGGAACAAGCAGAAGAAAGGAAAACCCATTCAGAGTTACCTAAACCTAATTTTGAACACACAAATCCACACATGCACTGTCTCCTCGGCGACTTGTAGAAAGCGTTTGAAAACGTTGACTTTCCACATACCATCCTTTTTGCAATATATGGATTAGCTTGAGCAAGTAAGCAATAACTCAGTTTGGCACATTTGCACTGTACCACTCCCTCTATTATTGATGGACAGTACGGCTGTCCATTTAAAACATCAATGCTTTTGTTAAACGTTGCTTTCTCCTGTGCCCAAGCTACTCTGGCTCTGCTCATTCATTTTTAATATTTCTTTCCTTGAAGTCTAGCCCACCCACAACCATAAGACACAAATCTAACTCCCGTATCTAGAAAGACAACTTCAAGCATCTAAGTCCTCTACACCTACTTCAAGGAAAATTCCTAAGGAGAGAGTTCAGCCAAAGCCTGCCTAGAATAGGCCAGACTTTGAAAACGCAACCATAACGGCACCACATGCAAGAAGGTAACGCTACTTACCGAACAGGCAACGAATCTGGAAAAGTCTGGTTTTTGTTTTTATTTTTTTAAACACAGAAGAAGAGAAGGTTTCTATTATGTTTGGAAAGATTTTGATCTTCCCAGTTTCCCTCACAATTTTAGTGGGATAGTCCCCAGGCTCATCTCCCTCCCCCTACATTTGTCTTGACTGGGTTCTACTTTCAGGTGAAGGCCTGCATCACCATGCACGCACGCAGAACCTACCTCAACACCGCAGGCCCTGGAGAATAAGTGGGAAAGATGCTTCAGCAAAAGACGTGACAAC